GAGGGAGAAAGGGAGAGAGGGGGAGAGACGCAGGGACAGAGAGGGAGAGAGAGAAAGGGAGAGGGAGAGAGAAAGGGAGGGAGAGAGAAAGGAAGAGAAAGAAAGGAAGAGAGAGGGAGAGAAAGAAAGGGAGGGAGGGAGGGAGAGGGAGAGAGAGAAAGGGAGGGAGAGAGAAAGGAAGAGAAAGAAAGGAAGAGAGAGGGAGAGAAAGAAAGGGAGGGAGAGAGAGAATGGGTCTCCCAACAAGAAGTCACACCAATGGTTCGTCCGGGGTTTGGGGACAGTCACTTTCGTACCAACGGCAGCCACAGTTCATCCTCGACTTATGACCGCCACTGAGCGTCCCCTACCACCACCACCACCCCCGCAAAAAAAATATTTCCCATCGCTAAGCCAGACCGCAGTTTGGAGAAGATTTGCTCCCCTTTGCAACCCTTTCTTCCCACGGTCGTTAAGTGAATCTCTGCAGTGGCTAAAATGAGCCAGACAGTCCTTCAGTCCATCCCACCCTGGACATTGCCAGTTGGAAGGTCGCAAAAGGGGATTGCGGGACACACATACACACACACACCGGGGACACGACAACCGTCCTAAACATGAGTCAGGGGTGCCGAGCCTCTGAATTTGGATCCCGTCACCCTGGCTGGGGATGCTGCCACGGACGTAAGTGCGAGCAGTGGCCGTTTCAATGGTATTGTAACTTTGATTGGTCACTAAGTGAAGCACCGTCAGTCAAGGATTGCCTGTCCAATCCCCATGGAAGTTCCCCATTTTGAGAAGGCCGCCTTCACACAACCAGCCAAACCTGGGTTTGCAGGAAACAGAGATAGATTCATTCCAGGTCAGCCTGGGAGGGGCAGGCCGGGTTGGCACCCACAATGGCCACACACACACACACACACACACACACGCACGCACACCCCACATCACATCAACCCCTCCTGAGCTGGGCCCACAGAGTCCCTCCTGCTGGCCCTGCTACACAACCTCACATACCCACACAAGCCCCTTTCTGGGCAGGCCGTCTCCACACAGCCAGCCAAAGCTGGGACCCACTTCGAGTCGGCAGGGGAGGGGCAGTCTGGGGGCGGGCACCCACACAAGTCCCTCAATCATTATCAAATCCCCCCCCCAATCACATCAGCACTTCCTGAGCTGACACCACGCTGCCTTTGACTGACCTGGCTGCATGCGCACACACACACACACACACACAAATATAGACAGTAGTCCCTGCCACCAGACCACAAGGTCCATTCCCCCCCCCCAACTCCCCTTCGTGGGTGACCCCAGTGGGGTGTAGGACAACTCAATATGGCCAACTAGCCACTGCCAAAAACTTGCCAATTCACCACCAGTCAACTCACCACAGCCAATTCGCCACAGGACAAGAATTACACTAAGATCGAAGAAAGGGGGGGGGGGATAAAATCAGGAAAGGAAGGACATAAGGGGGGAGCTAATAGGAAATGTGCACAACCAAAATGAAAACATTTTAAAAATTGTTTTAAAGAATGAAATTGAATTGTTGAATTGTTCCACGGCAAGTCGTCCTGCGGCGAGTTGGC